AAAAAAAAAAAAAACGTATTATCGTGTTCCACACAAATGTATATAAGAGGCAGACCTCACGGCAACATTATCATAGAAAGTGTCAAGAAAACAAACATAACACTCGCGAAAACATAAGTTTTAAGAGAACCATCAATGCCTTTTTTCGCAACAATATTATTATTCTGCCCATTCAAAAATGAGGTAATGTTTTCTTCCTTAGTTTCACTGGGGTTTGATTCTTTAGTCGTACTTGCCTCATTTTGTACCACCGGTAGAGAAACTCCGAAGTTTCCATCATTTTCATTTGGTTTTGCGGTTCCAGTGGCCTCAGCAGCGGCTTGAGTACCAACCGACAGCGTAGGCGTTGTCTCAACTTCTGGTTGACGTGTTTGAACTTCTTCAACAACGTCTGGGTCTTTTTGTGGACCTTGTGATTCATCCAGAGTTTTGTTGATTGTATTGCACACATCAGCGTATTTAGGGCACACAATTTTACCTTTCAGCACATCCCCCTTTACAGTTAGATTTTCTCCTTCATGACAACTGTACCACTTATCGTTTCCACTGTATCGCAGACTTACCTTTTTGAACTTGCAAGACACCTCCACACACACGGCACCAACTGCTGCTTCATCTTTGATAGTCTTTAGATCCCCACCCTCCACACAACGTGAGTTGTTCGCAATTACACTTTCAGGCATTTGGCTCTGCTCACCATTGATGCAGCTCTTTTGCGGTAATGCCTTAATAAACGGACAGTAATCCATATGTTCAGATGAATCTGAACCAACCCTTTTCGTGTCCTCTGAAAAGTATTGAAACTGCTTCGGAAGATCCTCAACTGTTTTTGCTCCAATGCTGCTGCACCTCCCCAGCGACTGGCGGTCAGATGTGCACTGTAGTCCTGCAGGAGTGTCAGGGATATCACCGCTCTTGGTTGTGCAGAACATGTTGGGGAAGTTGGTTTCCCCGCTGTTAACGCACTTATTATTCAAAAATTCACACTTAGAGTTATTGCCCCAACTCATCTGCTCTTCCATTGTCCAATTAACTTTGTAGTAGCCCAGATCAGCGAAAGCGCCCAATGTGAGTGCGGTGTAGTACCCAGCACCAACAAGGTCAGCCATTAACTCGTCCTTTGCAATACGACGACTCCAGTGGGACCGTGTCATCTTACCTTTGTGCTTTGGAATAAACATTGGTGCCTGAACAATACACATTATACTACCCGTCGCAGTCTCCACTTGCTTCTTATCAGTGCATTCGCTCGAATCAGATGCGGCCACTGCAGCTTGAACGTGTAGTGAACGTCTTTTCGACAAGACATTTGATGAATGATGTACATTCTGTGTAAACTTGGCAGCACTGGAACCCTCTTCTCCACGTCTCTCTTGCACAACATTGCCAACAGACACCTTCCCTGTCAAACGACCATCAACAACATTACTGTGTGATTCTCCCAATTCATATTCCTCTCGTACACTTGCAACCTGGGCGAGGATGGTTGATCCTTTTGGGGTTAATGTTGATGGCTGTGCGCCACTTCTTTGAGCGACCTCTGTCTCGCTTGGTTTTCGTATCTGTACAAATGCTACACCTTGTAGTTCCATGCCTTCTGCAGAATCACAGTTATAATGTTTCATGGCCTCTCTTCGTGTGTTATTTGAAGACACAACATATACATCTGCCGTATCACGCAAAGAATCAGCTTTACCACCCAATTCTTTTCTTTCCATCAGCTCGAAATTGAATCCAAGCGCATGGGCAATCTCGTGAGCAGCAACGCGGACACGCTGTGGTGTGGCCACAATATACCGTGGACCGTAATTGATGATCCCAATAACTGGACGACCATTACGACCTAATGTCGCACATGTTGCCGCCCACGCGAATGTTCCCTCAGGCGTTGGGACAGCAGCAGCATACAGCACCATGTCAGCATCGGAAATTTCAGTACTTTTATCAGCAGCTGTTGGTGTAGTGAACTTGGAGCAAAGACCATCCTTATTGGTGAATGTCGGCAAGACAATAGGACCCTTCAAACGCTCCACAAAAAGCCGTTCCTCGTGCAGTTTAACTGCCTCAGGGAGAATCTCTTCAACAAGAATTTTCTTTTT